ATTTAAAAATATAATAGCAGAACTTATGTATATTTGACATTACCTATTAGTGTAGCAACTGCAAAAAGATCCTTACGTACATTAAAACACATTTAAGAACAACAATGGCGCAAATCAATTTCTCTGCACTAGACCTAGCTACTGAATAGCTTTTGAAGCAGAAATAGCAGCTTAATTAAATTTAAAAGGTATTATACACCAATATGCAGCTATAAATACAAGAAAAAAACTTTCATTAGATTTTCTACTTACTAGACTTGCATTCTGTAACATACTGGTTTTTATTTGTATAAACCAAAATTGTATTTAAAAATAAGGTTTTTGTTTTCATATATAATTTTTGTCAATAAAAGGGAAGGGGGGAGTAGATAAGTAATTTAGGGGCCCCGATAAAAATTTTGCGAGAAGGTCTATTTTTTGTCGCTACGCTACTGACTATAAGGATATATATATATATATATATATATATATATATATATATATATATATATATATATATATATATATATATATATATATATATATATATATATATATATATATATATATATATATATATATATATATATATATAACAAACATTTTCCTTCCGAACAGTTTGTCCGTGAAATACATTGTTTGTTGGACATGACCGATAAAACTCAACAAAAATGTTTACTTATATTGTTTCGTTTTAAAATAATTTTTTTATAAAAATGAGCGAATGAAGTTAATTGGAATTACAAGATGAATATTGAGTGATTTTCAGAAATAAAAAAAGATGCATTTGTAAAAAAAACATACTTTATAAAAAAACACCTAAAAAAGCTGTCACTGATGACTGATGTCTACTGATTTATTTATATTTGATCTGATTTATTAATTATTGTAAAATTTTCAGAAATAATATTTATTATGTAGAATATCTTTTATCAATCATTTTTTGTTTTCTGAAATAATGATTTTCAGAAAACAAAAAATAATTAAAAAATTAAAATTAAAAAATATATATATATATTTTTTTAATTATCATCAAAAAGATATTTAAAATGTAGAGGAGAGTAGGGCACCATGACACACTCTTGGTTTCTGCGTTGTAACAATTTTTTTAATACGCCTTTTTTTATGCAATTGGTTTAATTTGAAGAATAAATTTATTCACAAATATTTTAGAAAATTTTATTATAAATTTTGTAAAATTTAATTTAAAATTTAAAAAATTTATAAATTACTAAAATATAACAGGTTAAACTTGTGAGACTATATAAAGTAAAATTAAAAATTTGTTCCAAAGTTCCCCGCTCATTTAAATTTTAATAAAATTTTAAATAAATACGTTTTTTATAATGAAATGAACATTATAGTTTAGCAATATGATCTGTTCTGATCATTTATTGGCAATTTTTCTTAATTAAAAGCTCTTGGTCGGAATTCTAGTATTTTTTGTAACAGTTGATAGAAATATTGTGTTTTGACAACTTCATATAATTAGTATACGTCAGAACCGATTAGAACTAGGATCAATAGTAAATTAAGGAACTTTTTAAAAAGATTTTAACTAAATTCATGTTAACGCCGATCTAAAGACTCCAAAATGGTGTTCTTTAGATTCACTATTACGGCTAATAAAAAGGTTTTGAAAATTATATATATAAAACAAGAAAAATCTTAAATATTATAAAAACCTGAAACAAAAAAATTATAACATTAAAAGATCTTGTTTGGACATAATGTGCTGACAAAACCATGCTAATTACAAATAAAAGAATTCGAATAATTTGTAAATCGCTTTAACTACACCAAGTGTTAATTTTTTTTCTCTTAAGACGTTTTGAAAAACAACTGGAGCATTTATTCGGTAAATTTAAAAACTATTTCAAATTTTTTTTTTTGTTTTTTTATTAAAATTTTACAAATACGCGATCATAATATAAACTGATTCGTTTACAATGTATAAAATAAAATATCGTACATATAATAGGAACTTTTTTCAGTACAAATATTAAACTTCGCACAAATAATAAATATAAAAAAGTAACGCTGTTAAAAGAACGCGGGAAACTTGCAGAAGACCATGTGGTCTTGTCATAAAGAAACCGTTTTTAGTTGCGATATTTTTGTATACTTAATTTGTTAAAAAAAAAAAAAAAAAGTTTAAAAAAGTTTAGCAAAGTCTCTTAGTGGCATTAGAGTCACTTATAAAAAACTACTTGACACACATAAATATATAATTACATGGTTTGTTATACTTAATATATTCAGTGGCGAATTAAGACTTCTTGGGGCCCGGGGCTATTTTTGTTTTTGGAGACCTTTTTATGGGCCAGAGCCTAAAAATGACTAAAAAAAAAAAAAAGGTCCTCTAAAGTTTTTTGGGGCTCCTAAATATACGGGGCCCGGGGCTATAGCCCCCCCTAGCCCCTCCTTGATCCGGCACTGAATATATTGACAGACATGTACGAAATATAAATAAATATACACTTTGCTTTGATGTTAATTCTTACGTTTTTTTTTTTTTTTAATTATTAGTTTTAATATACGTTAGTAAAATTGTTTAGTTAAATGTTAAATAATTTATTGTCTCTAATCTCGACGCATAAGACATAGTTACCTAAAAACTGGATATTTAAAAAAGACTGAATATTAAAAAAAACTTAAAATCAGTGGAAAAAAGTTGTATTTAGGCCAACCAAAAAATAATCTAAACAAGCTTTTAACGTTAATAGCACCGACAAATCATACCAGACGTTTAGATTTCTAATCTTTTATAGACAAGAAATCTAATCAAAATAGACTGCCAGACTCTTAAGCTAGAAATAAGCCACACTTTTTTTTTTAACTCAAGAAGTACAGAGCTGTCCCGAAGAGATTTTATTAGGTGTGTGTGTGGGGGGTGGGGGTGGGTGGGGATGGAGATAGGTGACGTATCGAATGAGGATGGGGATAGGTGACGTATCGAAAAAATTTTTTTTGCCGACTATCTTATCTAAAAAAAAATGTCCTTGTTGGCTGACGTTTGCTGACTACCAACTATAGATTCAATTTTGCCGATTCTAGTGTCCCATTTGCCGACTAATAAAATTTGTTGAGTAGGCTAGACTGAAAAAGTAGTAATTAAAGTAACTTCAAAAAGTTTATAAACAGCCTCCTCAAAAAATACCGTTAAGGGAATAATAATTAGGGCATAAACGCATTTAAGCGTTTTCTTTCTGTCTGAGCATCTAAAAAGTACTTCAAATAAGAAAAATTTAATAAGCAACCAAGCCAAAAATTAAAGAAACTGAAAATGACCCAAATTTAAGAATTTTTTAACTTTATGCATACTAATAGACGTTCATTCTTAATTCGATTAACACAAATGAAAGGACAAGTTAAGCAGAATAAAATGAGGAGGGAGTGATGAAGCCATTTTCATTACTGGAGGGGATAATTTTCATAAACCATTTAATCAACAAATTAAAAATAGTCAATTTGTTTATTAAGATATGTTATGTAAAATCTTGACCAACGCTAACAGTTACTATTAGGGTTATTTAATCGTTTGTAAATGTTCGTTGGTGCACAGTATTAAGAAATAATTCGTCCCGACTAAATTATTAGCGTAGCGATTTTATACATTTCACAACATAAATTTTCACATATGGTGTATAATTTTAAAAATTATTAGTTAATCAATTATTTTATTTAAAATAAAACAGTAAAATAAAAGCATTGCTCTGCTGTCTTTCTGAGCGTTACTAAAGTTTTGAAGTAGCGACGTATCATTAGAGACGTTATTTTTTGTTGTTGTTTTACAATCCTTACCAATGTATTATGGGTTAACATTGTAATTTTTATTTTTCTGCATAAACAGCTAAGATTGACATTTTTGTTGTAGTAATAATAATAAAAAAATTTATTTTAATATTAACTATTGCAATAAAAGCATTTTTTCACAATTTATACTATAATATATATGTAAATAACCTACGTTACAGGTATTGATAACGATAAGTATACGAGACTAGGCTCTTAAAACTGTTTTATTACTGTAGACAATACATTATCCTAAATATTTCAAAAATATTATGTTTACACATAAAATATATTTATGTTTATATACAAACAAATATATTTTATGTGTTAATAAAAAAAAATTATTTAAAAATAGTTTTTTTTTGTTAAACCTAATGAAATTTTTTTTTATAGTTTTTATTATTTTAAAACAAGTTTATATATATTTTATATCTATTCTATATAGGAAGATGTTTAAGTTATATGCTCTTTTAAAAAGTAAGTTAATGAAAGTTATATTCTTCAAAAAAAGTAACTTAAGAAAACCGGCCATTTGACATCAATGCAAAAATTATTGAAATTGAATCTTCCTGTAGGCAAATAACATTATAATATTTACTTTGTGAGTTGCAAAAGTTAATTTATAATTACATTTTTAAAATAACTTTGGTTTAAGAACAAATATTTATTCTGAATTGTCAACATCTGAAGTCTAAGTCTGAATAAAAATATAACATCCTCTTTGTCATTTTGCCAGTTTAAATGAATAATATATTTTTATTAAATGAAGGAAACTTTTCAAAATTGTGTGAAATTGTATGGAGAATTGCAGATCTCAAGGGCTTTGGTGGCCACTTGTTATCTCAAGTCTCTTTCACTGAAAGATAAATACTTATATAAAGACTAAAAATAAAAATTTATTTAGTATGTTATTTTTTTTTTTATAAAATCAAATTAAAAAAAGTTTCTTTATCAACAATTAGATATTAATAAGATTTATTTTTAACAATTTATTAACTGCTTATTAATAAAAATTTTTGTTAAAATAAAGCGTTAAATATAAATTTAAAAAATTATTATGAAAAAATAATAATTTTTTAACTTAATTAATATAAACTTACTTATAATTAATTAAATTTAAAAACATTTTATTTTTAAATCTAATTTATTAATTTTTTAAAATTTGTTTTTAACAGATTTTTTTTTAAAACTTTCTTACAAACCTTAAACTTTTATAATTTGTTTTTTTTTAGCATTTCTATTAAAAATAAAAAGAAAAGAGTGATGAATGCTAGATCTTTAACATTTGAGTTTACAACTGAGCTTAATCAAATAGAAGAGGTTGTCTGTAGCATATTTCATACTTTGTTGTTCCATAGAACTACAGGAAAGTTTCATTATCAAGAAGAAGGATCTTACACTATAGGTACTATAGGTTTTACTGATGTTGATTGCCAGTATATAGACTTGACTTATGTGAGATGTTCTAGTGAGCAACTTGATAAAAATATACAGTTACAAGCACGCCAGTTCAAAGAACTTTTGCGAACTATGGATGGTCTTAAAAGTGGTCAAATATCTTTAGAATTTTATCAACGACGTAAAAATCCCTGGCCCTTTCCTACAGAAGCTGTACCGTGGGAGTTATGGATATTGAAGTTTTCTGTTTTGTCTCTTAATAATGAAAGTGATAGAAACAAATTGCGTGAAAAATTAACTGACAATGTCTGTGAAAAAATCAAATCAATATGTGAAATAGTGAATCAACCTGAGTATATTCCAAAAATGCCAAATGAGTCAGATCTTTCATTTGTATTTGATGACCAGTTAAGTGATATTCAGCCGTATTTGCATAGAATAGTATTTCAAAGATCAGAGTATACTCCGGAAATGACTGTTGGAGGCACGATGAGAAAGATTTTCAAAGACACATTCAGTTATTAAATATTTTCAGATTCTTTAGTATTTCTCTTTTATGGGTTGTTTATTAAACTACAGCGAAAGTTAAACTGCTTAAAATTTATTTATAAAGTATAAATTATCTTGATATTAAGTTGTAAATAATATATTTATTGTTTAAATGTTTTAAAAACGTTTTGCAAAAGCAATATAAAGATGGAAAAAAATACGAAATTGTATACCTTTATATTTATATTATTTGACAAAAAAAAAGTTTTTTTTAAGAAAAGATAGTTCATTTATAAAAAATCTTAACAACTTATTAACTGTTTTTAGTATTAGACTAATATAAATATACAATATTATAAATAATATAGTGTGTGTGTGTGTGTTGTGTGTATAATATTTATAATAAACAATATTAAAATATAAATATACATGTGTGTATATATATATATATATATATATATATATATATATATATATATATATATATATATATATATATAATAAATGATAGTCAAACCAGTAATCAAAAGTAAATCTATTTTTCTCAAAATATTTATCATTAAAAATATTTTTTAATATCCAAAAAATACATTTATATAAAGTATTTTTATATTTTATAATAATAAAGATAATAAAATATAAAAATACCTTGTATTTGTATAAGTGTATTTTTTGGAAATTACAAAATATTTTTAATAATAAATGTTTTTGAGAAGTATCCCTGAAATGGGGGTACTGCTGCCCAGCTTTTTTTCATAGAATAGCCCCTGCATATATATATGTATGTATATATATATATATATATATATATATATATATATATATATATATATATATATGTATATATATATGTATATATATATATATATATATATATATATATATATATATATATATATATATATATATATATATATATATATATATACACATATATATAGGTACTCTATTTAAAAACTTTTCTGCACTGTTGTCTGAAAATACTTATTGAATATTCAAAATATAGATAAGTTTTAAAGTTTTAATTTATTTAAATTTTTATATATTTATTTGAATATACATACTGTAGAATAAATACTGATATATATATATATATATATATATATATATATATATATATATATATATATATATATCTATATATATATATATATATATATATATATATATATATATATATATATATATATTATATATGTCAAATATGTTAGTGTATTTTACAAAAAAAGTGTTTGATATTCTTAAAGAACAGAGCAGTAATCAAATAATAAAAAAATACTGATCTAACTTGAGTTTCTACTGAAAGTAGAAGCTCAAGTTAGATAAATATATATATATATATATATATATATATATATATATATATATATATATTATATATGTCAAATATGTTATTGTATTTTATAAAAAAAGTGTTTGATGTTCTTAAAGAACAGAGCAGTAATCAAATAATAAAAAAATACTGATCTAACTTGAGTTTCTACTGAAAGTAGAAGCTCAAGTTAGATAAATATATATATATATATATATATATATATATATATATATATATATATATATATATATATATATATATATATATATATATATATATATATATATATATATAATAAATTGGAATTTTGAAATAAATTGTCAATATTCATGTCATCTAAAACCTTTAACATTTGTGGTAGCCTCAGTGCATATATATGTATATATATATATATATATATATATATATATATATATATATATATATATATATATATATATATATATATAATTATATATATATATATATATATATATATATATATATATATATATATATATAAATTCAATTAGTTGTATTATTTTCCATCATCTTATAATTTTTTAAAATCCAGGTCATCTTTAAAATGCTTGGTGGAGGTTTTCGTAAAAAATCCAACCGTAACAATCTTAGGAAAAAAATTGATACAGCCGATAGTGATGATGATGATGGAAAAAAAGATAAAACAGAGTTGCCATCTATTCAAACGCCTTCAAATGCTCCCAAGACTATTAAAACAAAACCAAATACTATGCTTAGCTTTGGAGATGAATTAGAAAATGATGAAGAATTTGTAATAAAACGGACAAAAGCAAGTTCGACTTTAGAAAACCAAGTAAAAAAAGAAAAAAAACTTAAAAAGAGACGAGAAAAAAATCAATCTCAAGAACTTTTTGTTGAAGAAAAAAATCAGGACCAGAATCTTAAAAGCAATATGTTGCATGTAAAAACATTTTCTGATGATGAAGATTATAATTTTAAACAAGATGATTTTGGTGTTTCCCATAAATTTAATATTAAACAAGCTCTAGGTACTAATGGTAACATACCTGATGCTGCCATGATTTATGCAATGAAAAAAAAGCGAGAACAAGCTAGACAGTTTGGTGACCAAGTTGCTTATATACCTTTGAATACAAATAAATATGAAGGTCGATTTCCAGAAGGAAACTCAAGGCTTATACGAGAAGATGATAGCAGTGAAGATGAAAGGATTGAAATGAAAGGAACAACTGCAACATCACACCCGCAATTAGAACGACGGAAGCAAGTTGCTAAGGCTCTAGAGGAATTTCAAGATGAAGACAGTGGTAATGAAAAAAGAGAAGAACATGATGATGAAATTCAAAGATGGGAAGAAGAACAAATAAAAAAAGGAAGTCACATGCCAACAAATGTACCAGAGACATATGGTCCAAAGCTTCCTTTAAATTTTAATGTAGGAATGTTAATGGACCCAACAACTTATGTTCCTCACTATGCAATGACAACATTGCAAGGTTATTGTAATCAAATAAATAACTTGACATATAGTGCACCACAATACTCACAAGTTTATCAAATCCCATCTCAAGATACATATGTTTATTCAATAGATATTATTGGAGAACAGCTAAGGCAACAAGTTGATGCCAAAAAACAACTTCATCATTTGCATAAACAACAACTCGAAAAAACAGATTCCGATTTACATTTCTCTTTAGATAATCTTAAAAGCCTAGAAAATAAGACAATTGATATCTCTGAGAGGTTTACTTTTTATCAAGACATCAGAGGATTTGCACGAGATCTAATAGAATGCTTAAATGAAAAGGTATTTACATTTTTATTATATAAAAGTTTCAAATAAATTATAAAATTATATCATTAAGACATTATTATGCATGATCATGGATAATAATGGCTTAATGATACAACGATACATTAATAAAGAGGTAAGAACAGTTTGTGTATCAGTGCAGTGATTACATACATATAAATATATCAGGTGTTTAAAAATATCTTTATATTACAGAAAACTTCATCACTGGAAGGTATGTCAAACTATTGGTTAAAACTTAAAAAAATTGCTCTATTAGGCTTATAAGTATAGAATATACATTTTGTTGTATCTGTAAAGGTTAAGCAGATAAATGAGCTTGAAAGTGGGATGCATTCAGTTCTATCAAGTTATGCAGAGAAACTTGTAATACGAAGACAAAATGATGTCAAAGACGAAGTAGAAGAAATATCTGGCAAACCAAATACAGGTGATTTATCTTATTAAAGATAAGGCTTTAATTACTAGAAAACAATATATTAAAAAACATTTTTTTAATAGACAATGATCGCATCAATAACATTCGAAATCGAAGAATTGCAGAACGCGAGGGAAGGCGTGCTAGACGGCGTGAAAGTCGTAAAGGAGTTCCACATTATGATGGAATGTCCAGTGATGACGATGTCATACCCAGTGAAAGACTAAGATATGAAGCTGAACAAGGTAATTATAAACATAAAATGGCATTAAACAAAAATAAATGATATTTCAAGATTGTTTTTCTAAACTTCAATTTAATAAAAAATAAAGACTAAAAAGCTAAAGATTTATATGTTATGTGGAATAAATACTGAATAAATTAAAACTGCCAAAATTAAAGGATAAGTCGATTTTCTTTGTTTTTAGTTTTGTCATAATTAAACTGTAAGTATAATAATTTTGGACTACAAGGACTGACTATAGAAACAAAATCAATGTTCTCTTCTCTTTAAGTTTCTACAAGAAGAATGCTACACAGATTAATATATAAATCAAGTTCTGCTTCAGTTTAATTAATTTTTAACTATTTAGTTGTTTTAAAAATATTGCCAAGAGTTTATAAAATGATAAAAATAGTAAACTGATTTGGGCTAAATAAAAAAAAATAAAATAATTTTTCTAAAATTTATTTTATTTCATTGACAGAATTAAGTACACTTTATGTAAAAAAAAGCGACAAAATTAAATACACTTTTTACAAAAACCATTAAATTTAGTTAAGGAATCTAAATAATTTTTATTGTTTTTTAAAAAACCACAAAAACACAATTTTATAGACTGGAGAGTTTTTATTTTTTTAATAAAAATAATACCATTTATCAGCTCACAGGAAGTAGTCTATCCGTGGATAAGCCACTGTAGCAACTATGCTGGAGGTTGTCTAGCAATTTCTTGAATGCATTGACTGTTGTGTTCACTGTATTGTTAGATAGCGAGTTCCAACAGTTCATGATTCTGTCAGTGAAGAAATTGCTTTGCAGTGTGCTATTGCTGACTAATTCTTTGCTAAGTTTTTCCTCTATGAGCAGCTCTTAGCTCTCTTGTAATTATTTATACACACCATTTCACTGTCAATTTTTTTATGATTTTGAGTTCTTGAATAAGGTCTTTGTCTCGGTGCACAGTTAGACTAGATAGGTTGACTTTAGCCTTTTTAAATAGCCTTTCTTAATAGCTGTCTTATTGTGTGTTCAATATTGGTGACTTGCCACTAAACTTTTCAAGTGTTTTTTGGTCTTTTTTGTTGATGGTGACTAAGTGCATACTGCGTATTCCAAATGTGGTCTGACATGTTGTATAGAGTTTCTTCCATAGTGTTGGCTCTTGGGATATAAAATTATTTTTCAATAGACAGAGAATTGTTCATTCATTAAAATTATCTATTGTTTAAACTAAAAAGCTTTTATTACACCTTTTTATTTTATTTTTCCTGAAATGAAATTCTTTGTAAACATTAAAAATATGTATTAAGCATATTTTAATGTTGTTTATTGACACAAGTGTTATTAAGTTTAATTAGGATTTAAATTTGCTTATTTAAAATTAAAATTTAAAATTTTACTTCCTAATAATAAAAAAAAAAAACAAAAAAAAAGATTTATTGGGTTTGTTATAATTGGATTGTAAATATAAGCAGAGAAGAAATTAACTAAGTTCTCACTTTTGCTTCAGCATGGGGCTCACAGTGGCTGGTGAACTTCAATTTAGATAAAATCCGTCCTTGTATGGAATACTGTTGCCTTATCTGGGATGGATCTTCCAATGATGCCCTTTCTCTTTTAGACAAGGGTTGATATTTGACCAGGGCTGAGTTTGATAAAACATAGCTGTTTCCTGGGTTTGTGACAGGGCTCTATAAACATTTATACATTCTAAGTATATTTATTTTATTCAAAAATGTTATATTTTGTATATATATGCATATATAAACATCATTATGATCAAGATGATTATCATAATCATCATTATTATCATGGTGATGATGATGATCATCATTATCATCATCATCATGATCATGATCATCAACATGATGATCATCATTATCATCATCATCATTATCATCATCAACATCATTATCATCATCATCATGATCATGATCATCAACATGATGATCATCATTATCATCATCATCATTATCATCATCAACATCATTATCATCATCATCATGATCATGATCATCAACATGATGATCATCATTATCATCATCATCATTATCATCATCAACATCATTATCATCATCATCATGATCATGATCATCAACATGATGATCATCATTATCATCATCATCATTATCATCATCAACATCATTATCATCATCAACATCATCAACATCAACATGATCATCAGGCTAAAGCCTGATGAAGATGATAATGATCATCATTATCAAGATCATGATGATAATCATTATCATCACATGATCATCATCATCACAGCATAAAAGAGGAAGGCTAAAGCCTGATGATGATGATGATGATGATGATGATTATCATCATCATCACCATCATGATCATAATGATTATCATCATTAGCATCATCATCATCATCATTTTCTCTAATGTAGGCAAACTTTTTTTTTTCTTAACTAAAGCTCATTTTTACAATATGTAAGGCACTCTCTTCAAGTTTTTTCACTTCTACCACTACCATTTTCTACTGAAGCTGTTACCTCTTTACATGCTGATACCTAATTTACTTTAATCTTTTTTAACAAACGTTCGATACAATGATTTTTCAAATCTGTCTAAGATTATGCCTTCTTTTTTTGTCTTGCTAGAGTCACATCACACATCCATCTGATCTTCTCGTTCGGCAAATACTAAACCATATAAATACTAAAGTTTATATAACAATGAAAGGATATTGTATGCCAGCATATAAATAAATAGCAAACATATATGTTTATATCCATAATATATATGCATAAAGTGCATCTTGGAAACTTTTATTCCTTCTGGAATAAAAGTTTAGAAGCTTTTTAATTACTTCTCTTCAATTTTAAGTCAAGCATCATTCTACGCCACATTTTTCATCATCTTGAGCTTTAATAAACAATAATCTTTTTTACAAGAACATCTCTCTGAAGAACAAATGTCCTTTTGTTATTGCAGGAAAAAAAAGCCATGTCTGATGTTAAGCTCTGTTGTTCTCAGTTTACTCAATCTTGTATCTTATCTCAGATGCTAGGTTCTTGAGACTGTTGGTTAGTGTCACTAACTAAAGTTTAATCTCTAGTTCATGGGTCTGATCTTTTTACTTCTCTCCAGAATTAAGCAGAGTTATTTGCAAAGAAATCTTACTTTAATTTGACTCTGTAATATAATGGCCATATGCTTCCTGACAGTTGAATAGATTAACCTATTGTTAAACATCCAAATCCAAAAAATCTATTGTTAAACATCCAAATCACTCTGGCTTCCAATGCTAAAGTTTATTCTTAATTAAACACTTCTACAGTTTGTGCTCCAGACAACATTTCCATCATAGTCTTAAAAAGGTATTTTCCAGAACTCTCTTCAATTTTTGCTAAACTTTTAAAAAGTGCTAAATAAGTGATTCCAATTTTTCAAAACTCTAGAAAACACTTCGACTTCTCCAACTATACTATAATTAGTCTTCACTCTGTTATTAGTTTGTTTATATAAAGGTTTTGAGGTTATTAAATTATTTCTTTCTAACTGTTGTAGTAAAATTACTTTTGAAGGCATACCCTCTTCTTAATCTCAAGTAACTTTAAGGGTACCACATGGTTCTATTTTTGCTCCTGTATTGTTTCTTATCTACAATAACGATCTTCATGAAATCTAAAAAGGCTCTATTTAATGAGGACTCAACTTTATACTTTTGTCTTGATAAAAAACCTTCACTTTTTGATTGCTTAGAACAAGCAGCCAATTTTAAATCTGATCTCTCTTCTGTAACTGCCTAAGGCTTGCAGTGGCGTATGGATTTAAATTCTGGACTTAAAATCCACAATTTTTGTTAGACAACAATACTCATTTATTTACTATAAAAAAATATTGCAATATTGTTGGCATTCTATATTAACGAATAACAACCCAGAAAAAAAAAGGTTGGTTGAGAATTTTAAGTTTTAGGAGTTTTCTTGAAGTGAAAAAAACTTGTTAACAAGATCATTCATTCAAAAGTTTCTGATTGTTGTCAGTTGACCTGATTTTTCAAAGCAATTGTTATATTGTTATTAAGTTTAAAAATATTGTTTTTTATTTATTTTTAATATGTTGTCTAATTATTTTCTTTTTTATATTTTAAATAAAATTTATTGTTTTTAAAATATAAATGAATTTTTTATATTTATATTATAAAAAAGAAAATATTTGCTACCATCTTTTTTAGATAAACTTTACTGAAAAACTTTAAAAGCAACTCGTGCAATTTCTAAGATTAAATTACATTTGTTAAGTTAAATAATTTGCTTAAATATTTATTAGTTTTAGAGTATATAAAAGGAAAAATTTAATTACAATTTAGTTACAATTTTTTGTTAAACATCATTTCTCTCTAATAAATCATAAAAAATCAAAATGCAAAATAGTGAACCTAATTTTTAAATGCTTCACCAAAGACCTTCAGTCAGTTAAAGGTACCAATACATAAAGATAGGTATCAATAAAGGTACCAATTGAGAAAAGAAGGTTCGAATGAAAAAAAGGTACCAATGAAGAAAAGCATGGAAAAGATTTCTATGTAACTTGTATACAGTGCTCCAGCAAAAATGTTACAAAACAGTAACTTTAGCATCAGGAATCATTTAAAGTAAGTAATCATTTAAGTTTTTTATATTTGTAATTTATCAATTCTTTTCATCTCAAAAATATTTGGTTTCTCTGTTAGGTGACACTAAATTTTTTTGTCCTCAAAACCATGATAAAATACTTGCAATCTATGTTGATAAAATACTTGCAATCTATGTTTGATGATATTGATAGGACTTTATTGTTATAATTTTTATTGTTATAATAATTTAGAACTCTACTCAAATCTATATAACTCTTTTTACCAATAAATTGTAATAGCTTTAAAATTGCATAAATGTGATTATCTACAATTAATGAGATTAATTGCATTTTTTTTTTTTTTTAGAGCCAAACATCCATTACTTTATACTAAAATGATGTAGAAAGAAATTGCCGAAAAAAGCTGTTGCCGAAGAATTAGTGTATAAAAAAACAGTAAAAAAGGAAGCTGATAAATCTAGTTTAATGAGCTGCTTCTTTGTTTCTTTGTTAAACACAGTAGGTTAAATAACATTACCCTATCTGAATCACAGTTTCAGAAAAGATCCAGCCAAACCACTTTTGATGATTTCATCAAAGTTTAGTATTGACCATTACAAAGTGAGGCACAGCTAGAGTTTGATAATGTTCTTACACTTGCATTTTTTTTTCTTTACACTTACACGTGTAAAATTGTAATAAAAAATTTCTTTATTGAAAATATATAAAGTAAAATGCAATGTTCGATATAATTTTATATATTGAAAATATATTAAGTAAAATTTAATATTCGATATAACTTTATGTATTGAAAATATAATAAAATATAAAGTGAAAACTAAAAGTTTCAGTTTAAATATAATAAGACAATAACTGATACTTTAGTTTATAGAGATTTATTATTTTTATTATAACTTTTCTAACTTTTTTTATAAAAAATTATTTACTTTTAGCTAAGATTTTAAAAGATGCAGAATCTGTATTTGACGATGTTGTTTCTGATTTTAAATCAATTCGTGAAATAATGTCTCGTTTTGAACAGTGGAAGTTTGCATTTAGTGACACATATAAAGAAGCATTTTTAGGAATTTGTTTACCAAAATTATTTGCACCATTTGTTACTCTTGAGATGTTAAACTGGAAGCCATTAGAGGTGTGTTCATTTATTTGATGTATATTTTTTTAGAGGTGTGTTAATTTATTTGATGTATATTTTTATTTATTTAAGTTACACTATTATTTACCTTTACCATTTCTGGTGAAAGCAGCAATAGATGTACTAGGCCTACTAGATAAGAAATATATCTAATTTTTTTTTAAGATATTTTAGATTTTAAAATATTTAAGAGGGTTTTTATAAGCTAAAGTTTACAATATACTCAAATTTTTCTTTAGACCTCTGTTTAAGATTTTCTTTAAGCTCAAAGTCTAAAAGTGTTACATTTAAGAGTTTATATACATTTTCACATAGACATAATCTCTGAATGTGCACAAAGCCAAGGTTGTCAGACTTCATTGTCAATGTTTTGCTTGCTTATCCACTTAAGTGGATAACTTGTTGCTTAAGCTCAAGTGGATAACTTGTTGCTTAAGCTCAACTTGAGGTTTTTAGGTTAAGGATTTTCAATTTTTTTTAATGGTTTTATTGTTATAGTTTATGAGCAAGTACGAAATAGCTAGAGAGACATTAAGGAAGTTTAATTATTGTTTAAATCGCATAATTTTTTTTTTAATCATAATTTTTTTAATACTATCATTGAGAACAGAATTGTCAACGAATAATGATTAATGATTCAAGAGTATTTCAAAAAGGTATTCTATTCATTCAACATATTTTACCATGGAGTATCTTAGATAACTTTATTTGTACCTTCAATGGAGTAATTTAGATAATTTCCACTAACTTCCACAGAGTAACTTATATAATGTACTTTAGATAACTTCCACTAACTTCAATTAACAGATGTCTCTTTTTCATTAAAAAAAATGTGTAACCCGAATTTAAATAGTTATATTTTATCAATAAATTATCAGAAATGTCAACTTCAAAATAAATCAGTTTATAAATAAAATTATTTTTGATTTGGTAGTTTCCGTCAAAGATACAGATGTCTTAGGTCTTTATTCATAAAACCTAAGATAGGGTCAATGTTTAATTTATTACTAAATATTCTTTAAAAACAAAAGTAACTTTAAAACAAGACAATTGGGATTAATTAGAACAAATCAACAAGAACCAAACTGCTAAAATTATCATTTGTACAAAAAATTCCCTAAAGAAATTGTGAGTTCTATGTTTTGTTAAAGTTAAGTGTTCCCTAGCAACATGGTACAGCACTTGAAAATATAGACATTAGTTATATAAGAAATCAGATGAATTAACCAATAATGTTTTGCTTGGGATGGAACTTACCAATCATTTTCTGCTTTAGAAGGAATACTTATCAGATCATCTCATCAAGGATTTGATAGTATAAATCAAAATATCCAAAAATTTTAAATCAATGTCAAGATTATTGTTATTCTGTTGGATTTCCAGTCAGATTTATAAAATTTTTTGAGTTAAAACTAAAGTTGTTTTCTTTGGGTAAGGTTTCAGGGTGAGTGGTGTTTCTAGTCAGCTTGTGTCAGTACCAACAAAATATAAGATTTTTTTACATAAATTTCCAGGAGTGGAAAATTACAAAAACTTACAAAAACTGAAATTTATGGTTTGTAGCATTAGAGAGATTACATGCTTGCATAGTTGTGATAACTGTACAGGAATAGAGGTTTGGACTGATTTTTGAGAGTTTATTTTTGAGATTATAAATAGGTGCCCATTAAATTTTTTGGCATTTATTAATAAATACTTTTTGGTTGATCTTGGATAACAGAGACAAAGCATTAGAGATCTTAAAAAAAAATCTTGGTCTGGGTTGAATTCATCTAGTTTAAATGTTTTTACCTAGATTTAAAAACAAGTTTTTTAAAATCACAAAATGTTGCAATTTAATAACAAAAATATACAGTTGACTTTGCCATTATGAAAAAGAATAATAAAATTAGGTTTTTTAATTTTTTAAAACAATCAATTGTATACTATTTTTAAATTAATAATATATAAAATCAACATATTCAGGTATTAAGAAAATATATTTTCTGTTAAGAACCTTGAAAAAAAAAAGCCTATTATGCTTGAATATTGAAATTTTATGTGAAGTAATACAGTATCAAAATAATGTTTTATCATATAAAAATTATAAAAAGTTTTATATTATGTTAGTACTGATGCAAGCTAACAAGAAACAAATAGTAAAGTACGTCACGCAAAGTATGTCTTTTGAATAGAAGCATAATCATTTGCTCTTTCGCGCGGAAATTTTTAATCAACGTAATGTACTTTTTAATTTAAGTTACTTTAAATCTCTGCGTAGAAGCAAATAAAAAAGACAAAAGATAAAAAGAATTTTTTCTTCATTCTATTTTTTTCAACAAAACAGCATTTTTATCTATTTAAAAAAAAACGTTGCTCCAAATTAACTTATTAATAATTAATTAAATTATTATTTTATAAACAATTTTATATAATTTTTTTTACTACTTTTTCAAATAATTTTATAGCTTTTAACAATTAAATACATTTTAAAATTAACGCTTGTTTTAACGTCAGCATGAACGTTTTAAATAGTTTTCTTTGACTAATTAAAGTGGTTTAGATATTATAATGTTGCTTTTTCTCTTACTTTTTTACTTTTACTTTTTTAAGTATCATGTCAAGTAAAAATATACTTATAAAAATATCTTAATAGTATTAAAAACGTTATTGTTTATTACAACTGCAACTTAAACTTTAAGTTATTACTTAAGTTGTAAATAATAACAGTAACTTACGCTATTTTAAATTCTGCCAAACAAGAAAATTATAAGATTATATTTAAATAGAGATAATATGTTAAAAATAGAACAATTACGTACAAAACTTACAATTATATACTAAAGCAACTTCCCTCCCCCGCCCCATTACTGCAAAGCGGCGCAAGGTATAAGGAAGGGGGGGGGGTAAAATTTTTTTTTCGCTATTAGATTTTTTTACGTTAATTCGAGCCCTGTCATTATTATTTATTATTTTTATTACTGCTATTTTTATTATTACTAATATTGTTATAACTGTTATAAATACTTTAATTTTTGCTGTTACTATTAAAGTTGTTACTGTTATTGTTATTATTTTTTAAATTAAGATGGAAATGCAACTTAAGAAAGTTTTTTTTTTTTATGATTTAATCTGCAACAAGTTGTATTCATGGGTCACATCCTAATAATTTTTTTTTTTTATTAAGATATGCCCAAGTCAGCACAATATATGCTGCAACCTACAAACTTGATAATTTATTCAAGCACATTTTATTCGTAAGAGTTTAAATACATGATTTTTTTTTCTTATTAAGATATATTTCAGCCAGCATTATATACGCCGTAATCTAGAGACTTTTTTTTAGTTTTCGAAAGAAATCTTTTACATAAACAAAAAAGAATCAATGACATCATGTACTTAAACTCTTAAGATTAAAACGTGCTTGAATAAATTATCAAGTCTGTAGATTGCGGCGTATATTATGCTGACATTTTGGCCTACAACAAAACAAAAAAGGCAAGCTTCAACTTGAATAAAAAAATTAATTTTTATTGCCATACCGTTTTTTTCGAAAAAGAAGAAAAAAAAAAGAATGATGAATAAAATGATTGCTGCCCCATCCCAAACCCTCAGTCGATGTAGCAGCACTTCACTGCGAGTCAGGCTATTTGTCAGTGGATGTATGTACTGAAGCCCCCAGCAGCAGACTATTTCAGTATGACGTCAGATTGCTTACATTAGTACTATTTGTATATATATATATATATATATAATATATATATATATATATGCATATATGTATACAGGGCTTGTGACGAATAAAATCGTCAAGCGTGTTATCGCGCTCGTAAAATTAAAATATGTTTTCATCGAGCGTGATTATGTGCGCTCGAGATAACGTCGACGAGCGCGATCATGAAAATTGCTGAAGAAGATCTTTTTTTATTTGTTACATCGTTCTTTCGTCGACAAATGTTATAATTAGTATCACACTCATAAAATAACACTCTTGTATATTGTCAGATCAGGATTTTTTTTTAACTATTTATGTTATAAAAAAAAATATATCAAACAAAAACGCAACTTCTTGTTGATTTAGTATTGAAGTATAATTTAGTGACTTTTTTATAATTTAGTGCCTTTTTTTGTTTTGTTGTTTTGATATATGTATTTAAAAATAGTTTTTATATTTCTTGATATTTTTTATTTAAATTAATTTATTTCTAAAATTTCTTTTTTAAATTACGATTTTTTTATCTTAAAAAAATAACACAAGAAAGTTTGAAAATCTTTTTTTTTTTAAACTATTCATTATAGGTTAAATAACAGATTTTCCCCTCAACTGTTGTCAACGGTGTTTCCTCTTCTACATTTTCGAAACTGAATGCAGCTAATTCGTCACTCATATCTTCATCAGCACTGTCTATTTCATCATCTTCATCAAACATTTGATTTGTAATCAATGTTGTTGCTGGTGTCCTATAGTCAACTTGATTATCATCAACTTGAACCACTCGTCTCTTATTCAAATAAATTTCTTTTGCTCATATTTTAATCAGGATTATTTCTTCCTTTGACCAGCTTCCATGGTTTCCTAATATCATAATGCTATCACTTAGAGTGTCATGATTCATAGATAAACGTTGATCTGACAATATGCTAGTTACTGTGCTAAACATTCGCTCCATGCTTGAGTTTGATCCGGAAATTGCGAAGATAATCGATATAACTTTTAATAAATTTGGAAACTTAGACTTTTTGTACAAGAACGTCGACCTCCAGATATCTCTTGTCTGGCGATTGCATACCATTGCTTCAAGATTGGTTCTTGAATGAATCAAAAATAGTTTCCATTCTTGGAAAACTAACTTTTCATTAAAATTGGAATGTTCCAATGGCGTTTTAAAATGCGTGGACAAAAACTTTATTTCTTCCAAGCCGAAATCTTTGTCATCAGTCCAGTTCTGCGGGTCAATGAGCCACATGGCGTGATAAATCTCAGACTCCTCTATTTCCTGCTTGTAAATCTACTTCTT